TCTATCCGCTTCGCGGAAACCAGTTTCCACGGCGCCGTGCACAGTGGAATAATAATGATCGTGCGTAGCTTCTCCAGCGAAAAGGATTACCTAATCATAATTCATTTCGTCAATGTCACCAGTATTTTACAATAGGATTCAACAATTACATAAGATACAAATGCATGACAGAGTAATGTTAAAAATAAAAGAACATATCTTGAGTTCTTGATGAAATGATATAAAATGATGAAAAGACTATGTTGAATAATACAAAATTGCATAATAATTACAAATATTATGTTACTTTTATTTTATGACACGTACAGGTTTAGTTCCACTCATAATTGGCTCAGCCAGATCTCTCGGTTTTACATCCATCTGCTCGGAAACCATACTTAGAAAACTGTACGAGCCTCGAAAATGTTCATTGGTATACCATTTCGATCTAAAAGTTTTAAAAACTAAGGTAATGACATGATAAGTTAAAGCGAATCTAATTATCTTTCTGTCAATCAGTTCCAATCAAAATTACCTTAATATTCTTGTTGGTTTCACAACATTGCAACGTTTCTCAAATGCCTTTTTTAACAATAAATGCAATCCGCTGACCACGTCAATATCTGATAAGGTTTCCACGTGTCTTGCATTTTTTCCTGCTAACCAAGCACATAAAAGATTAGGTTGATAAGCCACAGTGAAAAATGAGAATACATCACAGAGCCACTCCCTATCCTAAAATAAATAATGAGATTAGTGAAAGGCCAGGACAAAGAATATCAAAATTAATTTTTAAACAAATTATTCGTTATAATCTTAAGTTTATATAGGCATCTGAAGAAAAAAAAATTATTAGATTATATTCAAATATTTGCTCACCTGACTATAGTTTTGCAAGAATTCCTTTCTATCTTCTTCTGACCAGATGAAATCAAAACTGGCTTTATCTTCTGGCCACCATCTGTGAGGAAATTCGAGGAAGACCTTGTTTGCTGTCCCGATATTTAATCCCTATGATCGAATGACATTTATCAACATCAACATGCATGTAATGTGTCATTTTATCTTACAGTACTACGTTGTTAATAAAACCTCTATCGCGCGTTGTTTCCTTTGTGGTAAGGGTGGTACGAACATCTTAAAATGTTTCTCTTTCAGAACACCCAGAGACCCAGTGAATATTATATGCGATGTAGAATACTCGCATCCATCTCTGGTAATCACCGTTACATTTTCACCTGAGCTATAATCAATGGTTGCCACAACTTTCCCGAACTCTACTTTTTCCATTACTGGTAAGCATTTTTCTGCGTTTGGAATTTTTTGCTGGTGAAATTATCACATATGATTGATTAGAAAAAGAGATTGCTAAAATAATTGATAAGATATACATTAATGATATATTGCTTTATAAGATATATCACAAATACATTAAAATCGTACTATACTTTTAAACTTTTTATTTAAACTTTAACTTGATTTTTAAATAGTATAAAATGACGATTTTTCTATTTATTATTTTGAAATTTTTTTATATATGTATATTATATTATCCATATACAATATAATCCTTTTTCCCGTTTATTTTGTCAATGAATTAATCTTATACTTATAACTTAACTTTAAACATTTTGATCACTATTTTATTTTAATAAAATATCTTAAATATTTTTGAAAACTCCAATATTTTGCAAAACGAAACGTTATTGGAATCTCATTGTTAGGTACATTTTTGTTACGTTTCTGTTCCAACATTTAAGTGATTTCTTACCATTAACAGATCCAAAATTGTTTTATAACCACGTTCTTTCCAATTTAACACAAGATCGCCTTCACAGTCCCAATATTCTGCCAAACGTTTTGCAGAGACGTCAAACCATGTGTCGCTGCATTGTACAGAATTTTCCATCTTTTCTATCCAAGATAAATATTCAGCAACTCGAGCACGATTTGTGAAAGGCTTCTCATCAAAAACTTTATAATATCTGCAACATTAAGATGTGTGATTAAATTAAATTATCATAACATATTACCATAATATTAATAGCAACATTTAATTTACATCTATACACAGTATGTTATTCTAAATATTAAATAAATATTAAATAATTAAATAAATTATAAATCTTTTATCTATCTTTTATTCTTATATACTTTTCTGTCTCAGCTGTGTTACAATATTTTATAAACATTACTCTGTGAAATAATATATTCAAATTCATTTTGTATACACAGTTTTTATATTTTCACTGTGCTTGTACTTGTATGTCCAAGAGTAAATAGATTATTCAGTAAATTTATTGGATTTTAGTAAATTTTGTTGAGTAATGGAAAGAAGTTTTATACTTGAGATTTTCTTCTGATTCAAATTTTGAGCGGGTAGATAACAAGGATGAATCATCATGAACCTTGTACTAAACTGTGGTGGGGAGGAGCATGGACTGACAGCAGTAGCATGTCGCAATCATTCTGTCACATATGAAGACAGCATAGCCTCTAATAGTGATATTTGGACTGTAATGCACCAAGAGTTGTTCAATTTCAGATACATATATATTTTTTATATGAGCCTTAAAATATCTCAATCATGGAAATATACAATCTCTGCACAGCATTGCAGAACCAAGTGTTTAAGTATTACTGCTAACTTTGTGACAAACTTTTACTGCCAATAAAACTGAACAAGACACAATAGGATGTTTACAAAAAGGTAACAACATTTCTGACTATTAGATTACTATTAATTTTAGAATTCACAGCTAATTGTACTATCACTTTAAACGTAATAGAAGATTAAGTTTCTCATAAACTTAGATACTATGCAATACTTGAATATTATGCAAGCTGAAGTGTCATCTTGAGGAAAATGTGAGCTTAAACGAGAAACACAATTCTAGGAAAGTAGATCCAGAGCTGGAGAAGCTGAGGAACGAAGTGGATGGACCGCCAAATTTAGATATGATCATTGCTAATATCCAGAGAGAATCGTCGCGCATTCACGCTGCGTACTTGTTTGAGCACAGTGGCAGGGCTGCTCTACAGAAACTGTGCCTGCTGCTGAGCTCCACAGCAACAGGGAAGATTTACGACGGGTGGCAGGAGTTTGCAGCGCACATGGGATTAACGATGGAGCAGATACGCGTAAGATAATCAGAGAAATGATGGCTGTCATAAGTATGCATGCAAATTCAAACAAAGTCTTATATAGATTATTATATAACAATAATGAGTACAACATTATAACGTTATTCTATTATCTAGTGCATAGATTATGACTTCAAAGGGCTCCAGGATCCAACGTATTACGTGCTTTTGACTTACGTACAGTCTCCGGAGGCAACAATGGACAAAATTCTGAGTGCTTTGCAAAGGATGCAGCGACTCGACGTTATAAACCAAATTAAGGATTACATGCACGATCTAGTCGGTTATGTTGCGTCGCAACATGTCGTAAGCTGTGATGGTAAAGTAAAAACTAGTAACGTGTCTTTTTTTCCTGGTGTTACGGAAGAAACCACAAATCAAGTCAAATGTAAATCTCCGACAATGTGATAATGGTGTACACTTAATTAAGTTAATTCGTTTGTTTTACATTTAGAATCTAAGATAATTCAGCCTGGACATATACCAAGAGCACCGTTAGTTCTGAGTCCCATATTGACAGTGGAATGTAAAACCGGAGTGAGAGAGGGCGAATCAATGTACACACCACAAGATAATCAGCAGAAGAAGGTTCCTCGACCGATCTATATATTCATGAGAATTTGCTAACGGCAAGATTTCTAATTGAATACTTTTTTTAACATTATATTTTATCGTATCAGCATGGGCAAACATATGGCTGTATAGTCATGCTGACTTTCGCCGATGACGGTTTGCCAACTGCTGAGTGCATCGCAAAGATATTCAGGTCCAAGCAGCCGCGAATTGGCGTGCTTATGCTGCAAGAACAGGAGAAACACGTCTACAGTAGAGCTGAAGAATTTATAGACGATTGTTTCAAACAGGTAAATTCATTTCTCCTTCTTTGACGGTCCAAGTCGAGCGTTTTCGCGATTTCGTTACAAATGTAATTTTGATTGAGAAGAGTTGCAAGCTCTTTGTCCAACTTCCAATCTGGGGAACCGAACTCTAAGTCCTTTTGAAAAATTGAAGTTGATGTTCTCAGGTGCTGATTTAATTAACTTTTCCACATCCAGCACCACAAATTAATCTATTTCTAGGTCGACTACGTTATACCAATACTGACAAGAGGATACATCGAAAGAATCAACAACTCTGTGAAAACGCACGAACAGATACCTAAGAATTTGGATACCAAATATTTGAAGTACATATACTCCTTGTTGAGATACGAATACATAAGAAATCAATGCTGCAACAATCGTGTGAGGTATATATATATATAAATTGATAAGTCTCTGACAATTTAGCAGATAACGAATCTTCGACAAGTCTTTGATAAGCGTTTATGGTACAGCATTTACGATTAATCTGAGAGTATACAAAATGTTTACAACAAATGCCCTCGCTAATTTGTTTTTGCTTCTGTTATCAGATGTATCGTGCGTGATAAAGATGTTTATACAATTGTGCGAGCAAGCCTGCATCCCACGTTGCAGGCGTGGTTTCGTGAAAGTGATATCGACGAATTCGTAAACAACATCCTCTTCCACAAAATTTGAAAACCGCGAGTGCCCGGACGAAAATAAAATTTTCGCTAGCAGCTTTTGAGTACCTACTAAAATTTATCATTTCGATCATCTTTCTGTACATAATACTATCTCTTTGACGATTCAAAGACTGTGGCGGGCATAAGAATATCGTGGACAACCGCTGTAAACTTCAATTTGTGTGAGATTCCTTCGCAGCCTACCGACATCTCTCTCACGTTAATAAAATTAACGTGCGTGTTGCTCACACTTAAATTTATGTCCCAACCCTGTCGTGCATTGCAATTAATTATATACGTCTTAATCTTGGACAAATAAAAATACTCACTCCCTTATAAAGTAGTCTCCGAAAGATCCTCTTTGCTCTTTCAATTCTGGTTGTTTCACCTTGTCCATATTATTAAAATAAATCATCAGCGCCGTGCTGCTTTCCTCTTCGGGTATCACTTCGCCATTAACGGTGACAAATTCATGTTTGCTGGGGTCAAGCAGAACCGCGAATGAATCCAGCAGGTTGTATTTGGAGGCCAGCTCGTACACCACGTTGTCGGACTGTCCGTGAACCCACTGAGCTCCGAGGTCCACCACATTTTCACCTGAAAACATTTAAACGCTCAGATTCCGAGTCTCCCTAAGGTCCAGTTTCACAAACGTCGGTTAACTGTTAACCAGAGTTCAGTCGACTTCCTATCTTTATCTTGTTATCCAAGAAGAGACAGAGGATCAATTAACCATGGGTTAGCGGTTAAACGACGTTTGTGAAACTGGCTCTCAGTATCAAGCGTTAGAAAAAAAATTGCGAAAAATTCAATTCTGTCGCGAGACAGCGCGCAAGAGCTAAGTCCAATCGGGGATTAATTGGAAAGTCCGTTGTTTACCGAAGTCCGTGGTGTACACCCTGCCGCCGATCCTGTCGCCGGCCTCCAGTATCACAAAGTCGTCGACTCCTCTCTGCGACAGCCTCGAGGCGGCCGCGATGCCAGCTGCGCCCGCTCCGACGATCACAACTTTCGTTTTCCTCGGCATGCCGCAGGCTCCCGGCTGTTTCGCCGCGCCGTTGTAGAACCGTCTCTGGGTCAGATTGTTGGAAACAGACGTGAGTAACGACCTTAAACGAACTTGAATTGGCTCAAGCAGATAACGCATCGAATTAGCCAAATCACTTAGGGGGCTAAGAAACAGCACAGTGTTATCTGAACGTCAACGAAACACATTGACAATTTGCAATCTTCTCAAATAGCTATTGCGAGATAAGACTCGCGGGGATTTTATCTACCTGCAGATAATTGTGAGAGAGTCAAAGGGAGAGGACAAGAAAAATGGGAATAAATTCAACTCTCTCTCTCTCTCTCGCAACGTTTTTTTACTCGCCGTAACATTTTCATCCGCTACCTCGCACACACCTGATTGATTTTGCTTCAGCGCCAAGCGTATCGCGGCGAGTTTTTATTCAACACTTCGTGCCGGAACTCCGAGCGAATATCTCCCCGTTGAGGATATCCACGTGCGGCAGCGAGGCAGGGCCTGTTTTACGAAGAGGACCTGCTTGCCCTCGCGGAGAAACAAATGTCTACGGGCGACCGAGAGCGCGATGACGGCGACGTGTAACTCACTCGAAGAACAAAGATCTATTAAACATCACCGGCCACGATCGCCATCAACTCGCTCACGCTCTGCACGCGTTCATCACGTCTGATGACACGCACGAACGACCGCACGGTCGCGGAGAGCAAGTGTTGAAAAATGCTGGCGCATGCGCAATAAGGCGAGCGTTAGCAGACGCCACTGGACGAATCACGTACTGCGATAAAGCCTATCACACAATGCGAGGCAACAGGCAACAGGAATAGGGAATAGAATTTTTGACGCGTTGGATTGGTTGAAGGAAAATTTCCGACGAATCCAACGCGTCAAAAATTCTATTCCCTGTTCCTGTTGCCTGTTGCCTGGCATTGTGTGATAAGCTTAAGGAGTGTCATTGGCCGCGTTCAGCAGACACAACTGTTGAGTGAGCGCCACTGAAATATATACTAACTGG